AATATAATTCTTTTGAATTCCTTATCAGAGAGTCCCAGTGCTGCTTCTTCCTCAGGGATGTGTTCTGGGTCTGTATCCTGCTCCCTTGTTTCTGCCACTTTATCTTGCTTCTTTGTGTGGACTGTGATGGTCTGTTGTCTCCGAGACATTGTGACATTGTTGTATTTAGATCACTGTTAACTGTTTGTGAAGAGCAGCCAAGGGTGATTCAGGCTCTTCTTTGGTGGTTGTTTATCATTGGCCCATTGGTGGAGAAGGAAGTGGTGACTCTCATTCGGTAAGTGGAGTTGTAGGAGGTATGGGTGTAGTTGTGTCATATGGGGACTGTTGCTGTCATCCACTCTGTTGTGGTTACCTAGTGCCGCTCTGAAAAGAATATACCGCAAATGGGATGGCTTTAACAATCAGGAGTTTATTCTCTCACAATTTGGAGGCTTTAAGTCCACGTTCAAAATGCCAGGCTCTAGGGTCTGGGTGAAAGCTCCTCAGCCTTGGGGTACAGATCTGCCTCCTGCTCCTGGCCCACTGGCGCTACAGGTATTTCTTCATTCAGACAGCTGCTGGCTGTCGAGGCTGAAAAGCCCAAGGTTGACAAGTAAAAAGGCACAGTCCCGATGTTACCAACCCACACAGCAGGCCATTAACTTAAGTCCATTGTAAGTCCCAAGTTTGGCTGAGCATGGCAGGGTACTGAACAATGACACGGCTACATGCAGGTTCCAAGCATGCCACAAGCTTGAGACCATTCTCAAAGTTGCTTCTTATATATGGAAAGCAGACTACATACCCAAAGCAGCTATTCAGCTGCTTGTCGTAGATCCCACCATGGAGCTGATTGCCAGTCTCATCATGGGGAATAACTACCACCAGCTGCCAGCCACTCATCCAGGCTCAGCCACGTTGACACACAAACATAACCACCACAGTTACACCCATGTCAACTTGGCATCTGTGCAGATCTTCAATGGGTGGTATCGCTACAGAGCTCCTCCACTGGGTTGCTCCAGTCCCCTAGTTCCTGAGTGGTGACCTCACCCCCTTGGCCTGGCAGACTCCATTCCTCTCTCTCTTGGACATGGTAGCCCTGCCCCCTCATTCTTGGGCAGCGACTATGGCTCCATCCCACTGGCTCACATGAACAAGCATCCCCACACTCCAGGACCAAGTTGGTGAAGGCCTGGCTCTTTGAAATCTAGGGGTGTGTGGTGGTTCCACCCCTAAAGGCCATGGCCCTACCCTTTCAGGCTGAGGCAGCTCTGCTTCCGTTTCCTTGGTCTCTCTCCTGCCAATTTATGCTGAAGGCAACCCACTCTGCTGGAAATCTTCTTGCCCCAAAAGCATTTAGCTTTCTTGATCTGTGGGCTGGCCAACCTGATACTCCATTTTATGCCAGTCTTTTCTAACAATTAATGCCAGAAGGCAACCCACTCCGCCAGTAAGCTGCCTAACCAAAGGCATCAAGCTTTCTCCTCCATGGGCTGTAAGACTGTCACTGTCTCATGCCAGTGTCTGGGCTTTGCTCCTGCTGTCTCTCATGCCAGTCTCTGGGCTCTGCTCCTGCTGTCTTTCATGCCATATGCCGGGGTCTCTCTGCCAGGGTCTCAGCTCAAGGATGCACTCCAGTCCACATAGATGGTTATATGAAACTTTTAATTTCCACATTTTAGGTATCTGTCAGAACAGCACTCCACTCTCTTGGTACCAAATTCTGTTGTGGTTATCTAGTGCCACTGAACAGAAAATACCACAAATGGGATGGCTTTAACAAGCGGGAGTTTATTCTTTCACAATTTGGAGGCTTTAAGTCCAAGTTCAAAGTTCCGGGCTCTAGGGGCTGGGTGAAATCCCCTCAACCTTGGGGTCCAGTTCTGCCTCCTGCTCCTGGCCCACTGGTTAGAGGCATTTCTTCACTCAGATAGCTGGTGGCTGCTGAGGCTGAAAAGCCCAAGGTTGACAAGTAAAAAGGCATAGTCCCAATGTTACCAAACCACACGGCAAGCCATTAACTTAAGCCTATTGTAAGTCCCAAGGTTGGCAGAGCATGGCAGGCTGCTAAGCAACAACATGGCTACATGCGGGATCCAAGGGTGCCATAAGCTTGAGACCATTCCCAAAGCTGCTTCGTATATATGGGAAGCAGACCACATACCCAAAACAGCTACTTAGCTGCTTGTGGTAGATCCCACCATGGAGCTGATTGCCAGTCTCATCATGGGGAATAACTACCACCAGCTGCCCAGCCACTCAACCAGGTCCAGCCAAGTTGACACATAAACATAACCGCCACATACTCAGTTAGACAAAAATAACAATTGAATAACCAACAAAAAAGTCAAAGCAAATGGATGAAAGACAGTGTGTAATCACACAGGAACAGCAACCAAAAAAGGGAAAAAGAAAAAAAAAATGGCAGTATCTGAGGAGAGGGCAGTAAGAGAAAAAAGGTAGAGAAGGAGACTAATGAAGACAAAAATGGGAAAAACACAAAAAGAGAAACAAGGAAGGGGGTT